TATTGTAAGTTAGGAAAATACTGAACACTTTGATCATCAAAAATGTATTCCTGTATAAACTGCACTACATAATACCGTAGCCCATCCAAATACAAAACATATATTTTAGTACCGTATTTATCTAAAAGAAGATACCCCGAACAATAATAGGTGCATCATACACTCTCATGGGACATGCATACGCTCTCAGCCAAAAGTGCGGCATAAATTTCGTGTTCGAAACCGAAACATGAACATTTGCTTACACAATGTTGTAATGAGCTTTGTATTATTTTGTTTGTCTGCACACATATCAATATTGCGTGAATGAAACAATTGACAACACTTGTCATGCAGATAGTGGTTGTTCATACAATAGGTAAATAGTACACAAAGTTTATCAAAGTAAATGTTGAAGCATTGGCTCACAGCCGAAGGAGATACCACAACGCCTTTAGCTCATTAGCATAAAACGCGTATCTTCTAAAAACTATACAAATCGCCTTTTATAATACCTTCATACTGTACAAGTTTATTATAATCTTCAACTCTTTAAAGGTTTTATGGTTTATATCAAAGTAGGGACACATAGGTTAACCACAGGAAAAGCTAATAAACATAACTAATTGCTACCCTGATGAATGATTAGCATAGAGTGTTTGACTCTGTTCTTTACATTGGCATCATTTTTATTGCTGCCAGTGACTGCTAAAACGAGGTGTCGTCGTCAGATGTATCTGATTTCTTTGGCACGCACAAACATAACGTATTTTCGAGGTTGCATACATTATGTAAATTTATTGTTTTTTTAAAATCAATTACAGACATTTAATAAGCCATAAATCATTCGTATAAGCTTTAAAACGACTAATTTCATTGAAATAGGGAAAATATCAAAGAAATTATAAGCTAATAATTTATATTGAGCATTAAATAGAGAGAGGATTTCTTATTCAGGACCTATCCTAGTATAATAAATACTAAAACACATCCGAATATTTGGGCTAATATATGGTGACTTCTTCGGAGAATCCATGCTTCGAAATCATTCAATGCCGAAGGTTGACTTTTCTTGCCTTCGTTATGGTAATATTTGTCAGTGATAAAACAGCAACAACAAGCAATACAACAACTTATACATTGCCAGATAGTTACATTAGAATTTTATGAAAGAGATATAAGAATATTAGGTGAGTTTTTGCCTCTAAACTCAAGAAAACTGGAAAATGTGAACTTCTAAATATGATATGATAATATATTTGCTCTATGGTCTTTAAACTTAATTCCGCCATTGTTAATATTGTTAGCAAGAGCTAATATGATTTTGTCTTTGTCATCAAGGTCCTGTTCTCTCAAATTGGGAAATGTGTCTTGAGCCTTAGCCGTAATCAAGGTCACCAACATGATCGCAACTGAGGCAAGGTTTGACCAGGTTGTCTTTTGGATATTTTGGCACCAAAACTTTACATAGGTTCATCTAAAAATAAACCTGAACTTAAATTTAAGGCTATAATTTAAAGGAGACAAACATATAAAAATGAAATTTGAGTTCACTTTATATATAGTTTGTTATGCGCATAAGGTTTATTTTGCGAAACATTTTACCGTACATTCTCACGCAATACGGAGAAAGTTGTGAAGATCGAGATCGATCTCTCCCTATCAGTCTTGAATATAAGAATGCGCGACCCTCCCCTGAACAATTAGAGGATTTGAAGTCAGTTGTATCAACAATTGCAGGTAGGTGGACGCAGTGTAAAAATGAACAGCGTCATAACTAGGATTAAAAGTACACAAAACTTCTAATGCTATAAAATTGTATCATGTTTTCTGGGAATTTCTGGTCCAGCACACTATCATCTCAAACAGACACACAAGTCTGTCTGGGTCTCTATGTAGACCTGACGCTTTCTGTAGCTGACGTGTTGGTTTTCTGATTCTGAGTTATCAGTCATGCCAGACTGAGACAGCAACAGGATCTGTGTACAGATCTGAATCACATTCTCAACATGGCTGACCTCAGTTGTAATCTCCACAAAACCCTGATAGGAAAACAAAAATATAAAAACAAATTAATTTTCCATACCCTTCATATCTGCGTGACAAACATTAAAATGGGAAAAAAAGAACATACACTCAATCCCTTCTGTCATTATTTGAATGTCAAGATATTTTTTTTCTTGATGTATATGTGACTAAACTCGAACATATCTCATACTATTTCAAACATAAACCTTTTGTTTCAAACTCTGTTTAGCACAATTATTTGGGTCCGTTAAGCCAGACTCGGTCTCGAAATGTCTCTAGGACAAACTGGTATGCTGAGTCAGCACAAAGTCTTCTCTCTTTAATCTGAGTGCCTGTATCAATCTCCTTTTAGGGTCCTTTGGAAGTGTGGAAAAAATAGTCTTTTCTCCGGTACTGCTATCATTCACACAATTTAGAACTGCACATTGAACCAACGTGTTTCTTATCAAAACTTTGCTGCACAAACTGAATATTACTCTCTTACGATAATCGTCTAAAAGGACGCACGCGCTGCGTGTTGTGTATGTGTGTTTTTGTATGTGGGGGTGTTTTTAAGGGATATAACAATTCTGTACAGAAACTTTAAATTCTATTTTGGAATACTAATATTTTGTATGAAATGTTTGTGGAAATACAAAAGACAATAGAAAACAATTGATCTAGATATATTAATTAAACAAATTAATGCACGTTCAACTATTTACATTAAAATGATGCAGGTCTGTATATTTCTCCCCTTTAAGACTTTAAAATTTAAATCTATCTTTAGATTGATAAATCAAATATTTTAGGTCTATACTTGACTCAAAGACAGGTTTTGTTGTCATTGATATCCGATACTAGATCATATGGTTACATTCAGTTAACGACTTTATCTTGTAAATAACGTCCAATTCTATTGCTATTTTAAACACAAGATCTGCTTACTCATGCATGCCTTGACAAAATATGACTAAAGTGAGGCATTTCAACAGTTTCCAGGAGCGGGAAATGGAACCTAACCCTATCCTTCGACCCTCATCCATTCCCTTCTGAACAAAGCAAATATTCAATTACAACAAACGAAATGTTTCCTTGGTTAAAGTGTCTCTACAGTTAGATTTTCAACATTATACTCTGGAAATGCGTTAAATATATGAGATTCCTGAAGATTCAATCAATGGGCTCCAACTCAGGGTTTGATACTATAGAACCCTTGCCGACTTGTTTAGTTACATAGACCACCCAAATGATATGTTTCGACCTTACCCCTGTTACACTCTGATGTCTTTATCTTATTTAATATAACATGAAAAAGATATTATATTCAGCCCTCAACAAATCAGCGAATGTTGCTATCCTACCCTTCTTTGCGCGCAGACATCTGCCCAGTAACACTTGGGCTGTAAAAATGACCAAATAATTCCAACAATAATAGACATTAATAATGAAAAAGAAATAACGTGTGGAGGCTAATTTTAGAGGTTCATACATTTTAGTGATCTTGAGCTTTAAGAGTGAGATCGCAAAAGTATAATCCATCATTTACAATCTTATTTATTATACTTCCTTATAACCGCATTTCTCAAACTTTGAAACCCTCATATTTTCAACAAGTCGCTACATTCATGGTTTACGACAAAATGATGCATGCTTAATATCTTGAAATGATATGTGTACCATAAATTGTATTTCAGTTTAGAATTTCCCTATTTAGCCTAAATTACATACCTCTATTCTTCAAATAATAAAGTATGTGTTCTTTCACACACACATACGCACGCACACACTCATTCATACATACATACATACATGCATGCATGCATGCATGCATACATACATACATACATACATACATACATACATACATACATACATACATACATACATACATACATACATACATACATACATATATACATATATATGTATATATGTATGTATGTATGTATGTATGTATGTATGTATGTATGTATGTATGTATATATATATATATATATATATATATATATATATATTATAGCATGCATCATTCGAATTATAATCCACTAAGAATGAGCTAGTTACGGTATTATACATTATACCGGGCAACAGACCGGGAAGTAAATTGCAAACAACGCTATTGTACACTTGAATGCTATATATAGCATTACATGTACATAATCTTATTCACAAAAAATGGCTGCCATGCTTATTTCTTAAACTGCATGATAGGACATGACAGTATTGAAATCTCTCTCTCTCTCTCTCTCTCTCTCTCTCTCTCTCACACACACACACACACACACACACACACATACATACATACATATATATATATATATATATATATATATATATATATATATATATATATATATATGTAAAAGCATGCAACATTCGAATTATAATCCACTAAGAATGAGCTAGTTACGGTAATATACATTATACTTGGCAACAGACCGGGAAGTAAATTGCAAACAGCGCTATTGTACACTTGAATGTTATATATAGCATTACATTTACATAGTCTTATTCACACAAAATGGCTGCCATGCTTATTTCTTAAACTGCATGATAGGACAAGACAGTATTGAAAGGTTTCTCTCTCTCTCTCTCTCACACACACACACACACACACACATACACACACACAAACAAACACACACAAACCGAGCTCACACCATTATTATTTATCTGGCTTGTTCGCGACTACCTTAGCAACCACTACGAGAGATATCATCTACCTCGGTCCAACGGAAATGGCTATTACAAAGTTAGCCTTTTGAAGCGTCACGTAAATTATTACAGTGACTCGTCATTTAGACTCCACACAGGGTAGCATAATCTCATAAAATTCTATTTGGACCAAAAATATTACTACCAAATCAATCGCATCTTATATATAAACACTCAAGTTTGTCTTTCGTTCTGTTTCCACCCAGTCATATTATCCTGACACCAGGCCGACGAGTCCTAACAGTAACCTCTTAATGCTGAGCGCCAAGCGAACCATCTTTTAGTACCATTTTGTAAGTCTTTGGTATGATTCGGCTTTGGATAGAACCCACGACCTCCCGCATCCGAGGCGGACGCTCTAACCACTAGGCGACCGTAACACCGTCTCTTTCTGTGTGCAACGCTTGCCAAACAAGATGTCGCAAGTTCATATCTTGCTACGGCATCTATATTGTGGGGGTTTTCTTGTTCATTTTCCTCTTTTGTATATTTGTTTCTTTAAACTTTTTTAAATTAGCTCATCTTCAGTGTATCCCCCATGAGTGTAAAACTGAGGGTCAAAAAAATATCTTGGTGTCAGAACTGGGGGTCAAATAAAAAATGTGGGAGTCAATAATGTACCGACAAATTTTCATCTAATCTAACATTTTTCAGCTGAATATGATATTGCAATTTGCACAATATACTCTCTCTCTCTCTCTCTCTCTCTCTCTCTCTCTCTCTCTCTCTCTCTCTCTCTCTCTCTCTCTCTCTCTCTCTCTCTCTCTCTCTCTCTCTCTCTCTCTCTCTCTCTCTCTCTCTCTCATACAAATAAACCAACAAGCACAATTAACACTAATGAATGTTCCATTCAAAGGATATTTTTATTAGTTAATTTTACTTTTGATTTAAAGTTGTATTTTTAACAGTCTCTTTATAATTTTTGTAGCAATAGTATAGACCAACACATTACATATAAGCCAATACAAAACTCCATATATATCTTATTAACAAAACAACAGTTAATTTGCTGTCTATCATAAAATGTGTACTATCATCGGTTTCATTGTACATCTTCCTAAAACACATTTATCCAAAAATCAGAGGGTAATGATTAATCTTCTCTTTAACAAGTTTCACTTGAACTTTTAGATCTTTCTTTCGTTAAAGCAAAGTTAACAAAATCTGTAACAACCCCCTGAATAATCCAAATTATGAATTTTTCTCTGCAAGTTTACTTATTTATTTGTTCTGAAAGATTATCTTAGGTAATAATGTGTTCAAAAGATATCTTTTGGTGATTATTGGCAGATTTTTAAAATTCTCAAACGATGTCACGAAAGGATTATTCACTTGTGTAGTCTTCGCAATCACGAAGTCACACCGGTAATCCCAATGCCTTGGATGTGCCGTATTCTAGTCAAAAGAATATTTTATCCGTTTTTCATTAAAGTCAGATCCACATTTACTCTTTCGTGTTCTGCTTCTTTCAATTTCTTCGCTAATGATTCTTAGTGCATGCTGTTTTCATCTCGAGATCACATTTTAGTGCAACAAGAATTGACGTTAAACATCCGGACATCTTGCTGAACTCGATAGAATCGCGTGAGAGCTCGCGAGATCAGGGGCAGCTACTCTGTCATAATATTGCCTAATGAAAGTCTGGTCTGGTTCTCTGCTCTGTATGTTCATTATTACAGTGTGCAACACAGAGAGCATACGAAACAGGAAACCAGAAGAAGTATTCACGATGCCATCCCTAATGATGTATAATCGATGTATACACGGTGCCGTCTCTAATGCAACGCGTTGGATATTAAATAAATCTTGATTATATTTTGCAGATCCTTTACGTCAAAAAAACGCACAGCAAAAATTTGTGTGCGTCAATTCTCTCCAGTGTGCGTCCCTGACGCACAACTGTGCGTAAAGGGAAACACTGCTCATCTTAGTATTTTTAGGCGGAAGGGGTACATATTTTGTATTCCCGTCATTTGACGGACAATTAACCTATTTATTTAAATAATGCTAAAACATTCCCATATAAAGACATCAGTTAACTTATGTGGAGCAAACTATTGCATTTTATTAACTGATGTACTAATTTATCACTCAACCTTATAGTATCTATATGTTTGTTCCACTACCTGATAGCGATGTGGCATCATCTAGATTTTGATTTACTGTAACGTTCCTCCTGTAAATTACATTTTTGCTGCTGAATATAGTTCTATTTGTTTTACTGGTGCACCTGTAAGTTTCAAGTGTATTCCAGCTTATAGTGATCACTAAAACTAATTAACTTGAATGCTTCTAAAATATCAATTAAACAGATTAGGTACAAATTTATATAATGCTTTGCTCTCGCCACACACATGCACAATAATAAACACACACACTCACACACACACTCTCTCACATACACACACACACACACAAACACACACACAAATTATTGCTAGTTTGCATTCGGGTGAACGGAAGTATGTACTTTCTATTTTGTCACGTCCTTCAATACAAGAGATACCATTCGCTAATTCTCTCTCTCTCTCTCTCTCTCTCTCTCTCTCTCTCTCTCTCTCTCTCTCTCTCTCTCTCTCTCTCTCTCTCTCTCTCTCCTTCATTACTTTCTGTCACGATGCAACTGTTTCAGAGCCTTGTATCCCAAATTATCTTCTTTAAGACGCGTATGATGTAACCCTATGTGTAGAAGAAACTATTCTTATTTATTTTTCCTTTTGCGAACACTATTGATATTATGTTCTCGCTATATATAAAAGATACGTGAATCTAAATGGCAGGAAACAAGGTTAGGTGGATCGAATGGTGAAGTATGCCATATAAGTTGATGGAGAGGTTAATGAATGGATATATATATATATATATATATATATATATATATATATATATATATATAAAGAGAGAGATAGAGATAGAGACAGAGACAGAGAGACAGAGAGAGATATGCTTAAATGGTAGATTAATTTTGCAGTGTTAAGAAGCAATGGGAATCTGCTGGGATAAGATTACAGGGAGAAAGGACAGCGAGAAGTCTAAAAAGCGAGTGAACAATGTTATGCCTGACAGGAATTCTGCTCTCTCTCCGAAAAATGTTTCGACTTTGCCACCAATCAGACCGGTAAGTCTCTCTTTCTCTCGCTTTACATTTTCCAACAAAACTACCTTTCTAATAAATCTAATAACCTAGGTGAATAATTTAGGCAAAACGTTACTGATGACGTCTTTAAACCAGCCTGTATTCTTAGTGGTTAACATAAAGCATTCATATAGCCTATCCAAATTCTTTAATAATTTCAACATACCAAACAGTCCTAACTATCGCTACAATAATTAATTGATTATCATTTGCTAGCTTAAGCAAAATTCAAATATTCAAATCATAGGAACTATGCACAAACTAACAGCGATGTTATACATACTTTGTAGATAAAAAATAAAATAATATTAACTAAACATATCTGTCTCAGGTTATATTTTTGTCAATCTGCACATTCGTATATAATTTGCTATGGAATCACATTGCATGTACGTATGCATACAATGATAAATAGTTTAAATTCAAGGGTTGGTGGGATGGAGGAAAATCAAAACAAATAGAATGAAGTATTATATATATATATATATATATATATATATATATATATATATATATATATATATATATATATATATATATATATATATATATATATATATATATATATATGCAATAAACTGACGACGAACAGTACGAAACTAGTAACTAACTAGTTTCGTACTGTTCGTCGTCAGTTTATTGCATATATTTTAATTAATCCCAGACACACGTGATCCCTTGGTGGATCCAGTACGCTTGAGAGGGTTGTTATTCGCCATATGATTTGTAGATAGATAGATAGATAGATAGATAGATAGATAGATAGATAGATAGATAGATAGATAGATAGATAGATAGATAGATAGATAGATAGATAGATAGATAGATAGATAGATAGATAGATATACACACAACACCCTTCGCTGCTTTGTTTAACGCATACAAACTATTTTGTGCCACCTCCAATCAAGTACAAAAGAATAAAAATAGACCAAAAGAATTCATCTAAATTGCACAACTAAATTTGTCTCTTCATGCCTTAGACGTGTGGTTATAGATAAAGTGACAGAATCTCAATAATTTCTAAATATACCCCTATTCTCAATGGACTTCTATCATTAGCTTATTGACGATCTCAGACACAAAATTTTAGGCATGTTTGATTCGAAATTCGTAGTTATTTAAATTTATATAAAACAATTCCTCCAGTCCCCCACGTCTGTATTGATTCGGGTTCACATTTACATATTGCCTTCAAACGAATGTCTTCAAGTTTGTATCTCGCATGATGTCAAAGGAGTCACGCAACATTACTCAATCACGGATGCATACCGGTATAGCACGTGCATCCAAGCACACAGAGCAGCACAAATTTCGCTTTTTCTTCAAAAAGCATGAGTAAACCTAAACTGTACGTATTTATGTAGAGGACAAATATAATGCCATGAAAAATGAATATATTTAACCAAATTTGTCAACTAATAAGTGATAAATATAATGTATTTATCAGGAATATCAAACGGTACAAATAGTCAATTCCCCATTTCCCGTTTTGGGTCACTTTCACACGTATGCATACAAGGGACACGCCTACATCAGTTTATACCCAACCACTTATCAACAAGACACTAACACATTACACACATTGCACTAATGCACACACACACACACAGTGGCAATGTGGATTTACGTATGATGGATGAAATTTATGTTTTTGGATAGTAATATAAATGAAAAAATCGAATATTCAATGTGACATGTTAAAGGCAAAAGAGTATTTATAATTTCAGGCAAACAAGGAGAAAACAGAACATGATGGTCACATGAAATCAAGAAAAATAGGTACTACCATTACGCCCTCAAACAGTTCCGAAGTTATGGAATGGACAGCTTCTAAAAAGGTAATTTACAATTTTATATTAGCAACATATAAGTCTTTGTGCTGCAGTTATTCTTTACTGAATTGTATATCAGCGTCATGCTTTAAATTAGACGTGCCTCGGACACATTACATTAAGTTTATATAAATACAACTATCCAGATTAGACAATGCACTTGAGGAAGCCCCTCGAAGCTACGTATCTCTTAAAAAGACGCTTGAAGAAAGGAATCTCTTGATAAAGAGCTTCAAAACCCCAAGGGCTGAACGGTCACGGCCTATCACGTGGTTCTATCCACGATGGAGTCATACCAAAGAATTACAAAACCGGTACTAACAGCTGCCTCGCTTAGCGCTTAGCATTAATAGGTTATTGTTAGGACTTGTCCTCTTAGTGACTAGGTGGCCCATCATGCTAC